GGGGAGTCAGCGACGGGCGGTATCGGTGTACCCGGGACGGGACCGGACCGGGGCTCTGCCCCTCCGCTGCCCGGGTGCTACCGAGTCGTCTTTTGGGGACAGATGTGGTGCTGTTTTGCTAGGGAGCAATTACTTCCAAGTATTATTTTTTTTCCTTTAAGCGTTTTTATCTTAATTTTATTAATCGCTAATTGTTCAGACTGTTTCAGGGGAATGAAGTAAGAACCAGTAGCGACTGGCAGAAGGTGAATGGTGTGAGAAGCGGTGATGCTGGTTGTAACCTGCATGCCTCCCTCCCGGTGCTGGTGTCTCTGGGAGCCCTGTCAGAGGAGACACAAGTTCCTTGGCTCTTAACACAAACTCCTCTCTTGCCCTCGCAAGGGAAGCACTAAATCCTTATTATTTGTTTTTCCACATTTCTGTATGTTCTGCCTCACTAGCCAGTCCAGCCTAAGCCATGACACCATCAACCAAAGCCATCTGTAGAACTGAAGTTAAAGTGCATAACTTTTAGTGAATATTTTTGTCTTCACAGAGGCTGTTTTTGTTTTTGGTGTTTGGTTTGTTTTTTGTTTTTTTTTTAATTGCAGAGGAAATTAAAAAAAGAAGAAAATCAGTAGTCAGTTTCATTGCACAATGCCAGGAAGTCAAATGGAGACTAGATCTAGCCTGGGCACTGAATACTGTAGGCAAAACCGTACGATAAATGCTAAACCGGAAACTGTTTTGTTAAGTTTCTTTATCTTTCAGTGTCAGATTTTCTTTTTTCCCTTGTTTTGTGTTTAGAAAAAATATGAAAAGAAATACAAAATGGGTTTTCTATACAGATATATAGAAACTAAGAGTTACAATATCACAGGTTAGGAGCAGCACGGATAGGAAATGCAAATGTATTAAAGGTCATAATTCTGAGACTATAAGGATTGTTTTGATTATTTGATTCAATTGCTGATTTTTTCCTACCAAAATGATGAGCTTGGATGCTGCTGTTGTTGCAGAGGGTTTTCTTAATTGTTTTGCATGGGCATGGACTCATTGGTAACTGGAAAGTGTCACCAGTTTGTTTTTTTTTTAATTTTGTTTTTCCTTTACTGCTCAGTTTAGTCAGTCTTCACAGTTTCAGTCAGGATTTACATGAGCTGGAGTGGTCTTTTTAATTTAGTCCACTCAGTCAATTTCGTGAATCGTTCAGTTGGCCTTTGAAAAGTATCTGACTCTAGGGCATGTTGAATTGCTGGAAACTTTAAATAAACTTAACTTGCCTCAACAAGGCAGATACTCAGAGCTCTGCATTTTCTTCTAAAAGCTAATGATTCAAATAATATTTCCATTTTTGATATTCTTGTTACACAAAACCTTCAGTGATCGCAGTGTTTGTAATTGCCTCATTTTGTTTATTCTGCCAGCTGAATTGCTTTTTTTCTGTAGCTTTGCAGTTTTGGATTACTAAGTGTTCTAATACAGTGTTTGATGTTTGTAGCATGGATTTGTTAGTAGTTACGTTTTAAAAGAAGGCAATATCTGCATTTAAATTACTACTGAATTTGCTGTAGTATTGTAGATACAACTGTATTTTAAAAGTACAGCACATTCTCAGTAATCTTCAATAATACAGTAGGCTATAGATTCAAATCTGACTTTCAAAGTAAGCATACATTAATCCTTTATTTCTTTTGTAACATCATGGATGGTTTTCATAAGAGTATCCAGAGTGGAAGAAGCATACGTAACTAACTTCACTACAGTTTTGCCTTCTGTTTTCTTTGGGGTTTGACTCAAGTAATGCACTTCATACTTCTCTTATTTTTATTTAAAAAACATTGTTGGAGATGATCTGATACTTGAAGGAAAAATGTTTCTTTAGTGTCTCTCAGCTGCAAAGAGAAAGCATTTTCTTGTGATGTATTTCAAGCAATCCTGATAAATTCTCATGTGATACTGTTGGCTTTTGATTTGATTTTCAGTGAGAGGAATTGCATTGTATTTTTCTGTTGGAAAAGAGTTTTACTTTGTTATTTCTATTTAGAAACAACTGGAAAGCCCCTATGTTTATAAATATTGGGAGAAAGTTTTTGTTTTGACAAGTATGTTCTTGGTTGCTAAATGGAACGTCAGGACTAATCATTTTTGTGCTTCAGGCTGAAAGTAGCTTCAGTGAAGAGGAGGAAGAAAAACTTCAAGTAGCGTTTTCGTTGGAAAAGCAGGATCTTCATCTAGTTCTTGAAACTATATCATTCATTTTGGAACAGGTACCTTGTTTTTATCATTATGAATTGATAAATATTTTTTTTACCTGATTGTAGATTTCAAAAATATAAAAGTCAAGTTAAAAAGGAATTAGTGAAAACATCTAGCTGTAGTATAATATGTATGTTTTGGGGGCATGATTTTACTGCTTTTGTTTGCATACCTTCCTGATTTGGATTGGATTCATTGCATTTGTGGAGTGAGTTTCCCGCTAAAGTAAATATAGGTGGTGGAAGGGAGCTCTGCATGACTCCGAGAGAAGTGTTGATAACTATGAGGTACAGTCCTTCCTCTTATTCATTGTAAGCAACCCAGCCATGCATTTTTTAATTCCTGTGAGGAAAATATTAGATGGCATTATTGAGCACTGCTTAAGTTACATGAAATGTCAGATATGGAAAATTTTCACGCGCAGAAGCATTCTCTATGTAGGTGAACAGGCACACCTGATGTAGCTCTAGTGTCTGAATGAATAGGTGACTGCATGTTGTTTTTTTTTGTAGTTTGTCTGTCTTGAGAAGCCATTTGTAATACTGCATTTCGAGATACAATTGAGATAGTTAAACTTTTCTATCTTCTTGGTCAGAGAGTTAAGATGAACAGGGTGCTTGCAGTCCCACCATAGAGTTGCTAGTAAGAGTTGTGTTAACATGGTGGCCATCTGTGGTAGATGACACAACTGGTAGAACAGTACTCAACAACAGTGGTTATTTTTCCTTTTACAAGGCAGTCTATCATAATTTGAAGCCTGCTTCATTGCAACAGCAGCTGCAAAGCATTCACCTGGATCAAGACAAAGCTGAAGCGTTTGCCAGTGCATGGGCGGCTGCAGGTCAAGATACGATTGAGAAGTTCAGGCAGAGGGTTTTGACCCCTCAGAAGGTAATGTTTTTTTTTTTTTTTCTGAGAAAATAAAGCTGTGTAGGTTTGTTTTAAGCGAGGAATTTAAGCTAAAATACAAAATTTGTGACAAGCCAAGGTACTGGAAAATAAAAAGGATAATTATTAGGTAGTAGATAAATGTGATCGGGGCAGCGGAGTTCCATTGGCTTAAAGAAATGTTAGTCATTAGCTGAGCAGCTGTAACTGTTGGAACCTGACTACATGTGCACTGTTAGCAATGTCAAGTATATGCAGCCTGCATACCACTTGGAGATGTTTGTGAACATGCGCTACAATAGGGCAAGGGTAAAATATGCTCATGAACACTTGTAGTGGTTTAGTTCATGGGTTTATCTTATCAGCCTGTTGATTCTCTGAACTTGAAGTGTATCTGAGCTCCTGCCATCTTTAATTTTGTTAGCTGGTTGGATTGTGCATTTTGTGAGATACTACAATTTTGAGAATTTTCTGCAATGGCATAGTAATCTTGCTTTATACGTGTCTGTTACTAGTTAAAACTTTGGTATGTGCTGTGGAAGTATCATTTTATGTTTAGGCATAGATGTCTATGTCTTATGAGAAGATACAATAACGTCATAGAATCATAGAGGTTGGAAAAGAGCCTTAAGATCATAAAGTCCAACTGCTAACATAACACTGCCAAGTCCACCACTAAACCATGGCCCTAAGCGCCATATCTACATGCCTTTTAACTACCTCCAGGGATGGCGATTCAACCACTTCCCTGCGCAGCCTGTTCCAGTGCTTCACAACCCTTTTGGCGAAGTAATTTTTTCTAATATCCAATCTAAACCTCCCCTGGTGCAACTTGAGGCCATTTCCTCTTGTTCTGTTGATTCATAATAAGCCTCCAGCAGCATGAGGAGATGTGTACAGAACACATCAGTGTCAGCCAGGATCAAATAGTTCAAAAGAGTTGTGGAATACTGACTCAATTATTCTCACTTTGTTTTTATCTTTGCTGTGTGTCTTGTTTGGGTAAGATTCAGTTCATTACTTCATGATATGGTTAGTAAAATATACATAGAATATAAATTTTATAGAAAAGGTACACACGATACACTGACAGAAATAGAACAACGTAATTTATACCAGCAGATTTACATCTAACTAAACCTAGAGTTCTATTTAGGTGTAAACTGCTCATTTTGAGAAGACAAGATATGTCTGTGGAACAGACTAAAGACGTTCAGAATTACATCACAGTTGATTTTGCCAAAGTATTTAAACTTGATCCTTTGTAAAACTGGGTAATTTTAGACACAAAACTTGTGGAATTTTGATGTGCAAAAGTATCATAACTCAGGAACTGGACCAAGTCAATAACTGGTAATGTAAGTATGCAAAAAAAATTGAGTTGAACAAGATATTTTGGGATTCTGTCTTACTGAGATAATACTTACCAATGCCAAGCATACAAGTCCCAAAGTTTAAATGGTCAGTGATACAGTAAGTATGTAGGCAGGTATGACTGTCCGTTGAAGAAGATGGGTAATTTGAAAACCAGATGGAATCACAGAAGGTTCTAAGGCTAACTTTTCAGAACACGGCATATGTGCGCAGAATGGAAGGCAGTTCTGAAGATACCCTACAAAGCAGCTGTTTGAGAATCTTCTTCAGACAGACTATGCACTAATACATATTTTACTCCTGGGTCTTCAGCGTATGAGAAACTAATAAAAATACCTTTGATCCTCTTTTATTTGGAGGTTGCACCATACACACCCACAGTCCTTCTGTGATCTGGTTTGGGGATGACATTGCTCTGTTTCTTGTCTGCAGTTTTGTGAGCGCTGCAACATACAGTGCTTCTGGTGTATGTTACAGTTTTGGAGATTCTTTGTGACTTTAGCACCATATCATATAACGGAATGGCGCTTTGCTAGTATATTACATTCCATATAAAACAGTTTTAAACTGTCATTTGTAATCAAGCTTATAGAAAAGCAATGGCAAAAACATCATAGTGCAATTTACTTGTTTTGTAGCATTAAAGCAGGTTTAAATACAGATACTTAAATCATCATTTTCACCCCCCTCCTTATTTTACTTTTCCTAGTCCAGATGTCAAATTGAGTATCAATTTGAGGGTGAGTTTAGATCTTAAGGTGTAATTTGAGTTTGAACTTGAATTTACTTTCTCAGTTTGTTTTGAAAACCTCTAAAGTCTTAATCCTGTAGACTTTAGTTGAGTGAAAACATTGAAGTTCACAAGAAATTTTCCTTAACCCAAAGATTAAGTCTGCAAAACTAATTGCTAAATAAAGTATTTATTCTACTAACAAGGCACACAGAGATAAAATACTTTAAAAACTGCGTAGGATAACGGAAGAACTTGCCATCTCCTTATAATCTTACGAATCTCCTTGTAATGTCTCATGAATGCAGTAGATGACTGCATCATCCTTCCATTGTTTCCTTCTATATTCTATAAGTAATTGCATATCAGCAATACAGCAATATTTGCTGTATTGTCTTTCTGTACCTTGAGAAATAGTAGGCAAAATATTCTCTTACTTGTGGTACATTGTTGTAGTAGCCAGCTTGCTGTAAATTTTCATCAACATCTCTTGAATTAAAGTTAAAAAAAAAGTAGTTAGAATTCTGAAAAATACTTAGATGATAGTGGTAGCTTTTTAGATTAGATTTACAATTTAGGTATTCAAATTTATTTAGAACTTATACTAATTCTTTCTTTGTTTAAAAAAAAAAGTGTGTCGAATTATTACTACTGTCTGCAACATGTATACATGTGTATAACATGTAAAACAATTGATCCTATAAATGTGCCCTCTGTACAGATACTTGTTTATATGGCTGTGTAAGGGTTCCTGATTTGCGTTGTGCACTTCTCTCACAGAAGCAATATTAGGTACAGAAAAAGAATATAATATTTCTGTTGTCATAATTCATAGAACCATAGAAAGGTTTAGGTGGGAAGGGAATTTGAAGATCATTGAGTTCCAACCCCCCTGCCATGGGCAGGGACACCTCCCACTAGACCAGGTTGCTCAAAGGCCATCCAGCCTGGCCTTGAACACCTCCAGGGATGGAGCTTCCACAGCTTCTCTGGGCAACCCGTGCCAGTGCCTCACCACCGTCATAGTGAAAAATTCTTCCTAATATCTAACCTAAATCTACCCTCTTCCAGTTTGAAGCCATTCCCCCTTGTCCTATCACTACATGGCCTTGTAAAAAGTCCTTTTCCAGTTCTCCTGTAGGCCCCGTTTAGGTACTGGAATGCCGCGGTAAAGTCTCACCGGAGCCTTCTCTTCTCCAGGCTGAACAACACCAACTGTCTCAGCCTCTCCTCATAGGAGAGGTGCTCCACCCCCTCATCATCTTTGTGACCCTCCTCTGGTTTATACCAGCAGCGTAATCACAGAGTAGTTGAGGTTGAAAGGAACCTCTGGAGGCCGTCTGGTCCAACCTCTGCTCAAGCAGGGCCACCTACTGCCAGTTACTCAGGACCATGTCCAGACAGCATTTGAACATGTCTGAGGATGAGGGCTCCAGCACATCCTTGGGCAACCTGTGCCGGTGCTCAGTCACCCTTGAAGCGCAAAAGTGTTTTCCTATGTTCAGGCAGAGCCTCCTGTGTTTCAGTTAGTGCCTATTGCCTCTTGTCCTTTCACTGGGCACCACTGAAAATAGTCTGGTTTTGTCTTCTCTACGCCCTCCTTCATTGATGAGCCTTCTCTTCTCCAAGCTGAAAAGTCCCAGCTGTTTCAGTCTTTCCTCATACATGAGGTGCTCCAGTTCCTTCATCATCTTTTTGTCCCTTTGCTGGATTGTCTGCAGTACGTCCATGTCTCTCTTGTCCTGGGGAGCCCGGAACTGGTTATAGTACTCCAGGTGTGGCCTCATCATTGTTGAGTAGAGTGGAAGAGATCACCTCCTTTGACCTGCTGGCAATACTCCTAATGCAGCCCAAGATACCATTAGCCTTCTTTGCTGCAAGGACATGCAGCATGTTTAATTGGGTGTCCACCAGGACTGCCAGGTCCTTTTTCACAAAGCTGCTTTCCATCTGGACAACATGCAGCATGTACTGGTGCTTGTTCCTCCCCAGGTGCAAGACTTTTGCACTTCCCCTTGTTGAACTTCATGAGGTTCCTGTCAGCCCATTTCTCCAGCCTCTCCCAGTCCCTTGGGATGGCGGCATGACCCTCAGTGGCGGTATCAGCCACTCCTCCCAGTTTTGTGTCATCTGCAAACTTGCTGAGGGGACAGTCTGCCTCATCAATCAGATCATTAATGAAGATGTTGAACAGGACTGGACCTAATACTTCCCCTTGGGTACATTGCTGGTTACTGGCCTCCAGCTAGACTTTGTTCCTCTGATCACCACACTCTGGGCTTTGCCATTCAGCCAGTTTTCAGTGAACCTTTGTGTCTGCGTCATCGGCATACATCAACAGATTATTTATGAGGATCTTTTCGGAAGCAGTGTCAAAGATCTCCCTGAAGTCAAGATAGTCCCTATCTACTGCTCTCACTTTGTTTACTGAGCCAGTCATTTCATTTCAGAAGTTTAAGTTGGTCAAGTGTGACTTACTTCCCCATTGTGAATCCGTGCTGACTTCTCCAAGTCACCTTGTTCTTCACGGGCCTGGAGATGGTTTCCAGGATTCCATCATCTTCCCAGGGACTACAGTGAGGCTGACCAGCCTTTAGTTCCCTGGGTCCTCCTTCTTATCCTTCTTGAAAATAAGAGTGACTTCTGCTTTCCTTAGAAATCTCGAGGATTGGTGTTTGGTGGTGGTGGGGGGTGGGTTGGTGGATTTTTTGTTGTTTTTTTTTTTTTTTCTTAAGACTTTGATTTATTCATCCTCTGTGTATGGTTGAAGTTGGATTCATAATGATGCTTTTTTTTTGGTCAAGCGTGCTTTGTAGTTAATGATTCAAATTCCAGGAGTATAGGAGTTACTGTACTGGATCAGAAAATCTCTTCATTGTGTATCCTGTCTTTGGCACCT